TAAGCAAAATGTATTTGGGCTGGATTATGACAGTCAGCTTCGATTTAGGCGGTAGAATGGAAAACGGTGCCTCTTGTTATCATTCACACCATAATAAGCCCCGCCATTTTTCTATCAGGATGCCGGACGAACCACCTATATTGAGGAGGTGTTCTACAACGAATCACGAAGTCCCGGAAGTAGCTGGGGGGCAGCGGCCACACCGTACACTGAAGCAAATGGAGACGTCAAGGATGGCCCTGATTCCATCAAACTACCCGATTCCTGGATCTGGGAAGGAGAATGGGAGGTCGACTACAACAGGCCGTGCGATGAAGAAGGTAGGCACTGCAGTTGAGATGCAGCCAAACTTAACATTTATTTCAATTTTTCACTATTTTGCCCTGTCAGGTGATCTGTACTGAACAAACGGGCAAAAGTTATACATAAACTCACTTGGTTGTGGTGACCTTTATTTCCTGTTGGGTGCCCTGGAAAGAGATTTTTCGTTTAATCTCTCCGGAATGCTTCCTGTTCCTCATTCATTTGAGTTTGCTACGGCATATGAGCTGAAACAATCCGCATACCACCCTCCTTTTGCTTGGCTGTAAATGTAATGAGCTTTCCTTCTTCTAATATTAATTATTTCGAGTTTATCAGTAATCCTGCATAAGACCTTGGTCATTATTGACAGTTTTAAGTGAATTAAGGAGTGCTAACTGAGTTTTCTCACAATAAGCAGAGCTATCGTTCCTCAGGTCAATAGGCAGTCTCCGTCGGAGCTTGAATTCATTCTGCACAAGCTTCAGTTTGACGCCAAGTCAAGCTTCACCTTAAATTATACATAAACTCTCAGCTGAAAACAAAAAATAAAGATTATTAAATAGAGATAAATAGATTTATTTAGCTATTTTCCATGATAATCTAAGTGTTTATTAGTGTTTGTAAGAAATATTCGACACTGCAGTAGGTCCAATAATGTTATAAGGCAATACTATTTGAATTTGTCACAATTATAACAATAGGCCTTTTTAGGCCCTTAAATTTTACTTATTCTTGTCCCTCATCGTAGGAAAATTTAACTATCCGTCTTAAATTGAATTTAAGAATTTTTGTGTGACTAAATTATTTTTTGAGAATTGCTGATTTTACAATAAACTACTCACGCATTAAATAAGTAGCGTAATCAATTTTAATGCCAAATACAAGTATGCCCCATCG